TTTTTCTGAAATATATTGTTAAGAATTTTTATTTCATAAGTTCAATCAAAGCCTCTGAAGTATTCGTAGAGTTGAAAGAAAGACTTGGGGTCTACATTTCTGGCTGTGAGCAGGGTGTTGTAACAGTTCAAAGGCTGTGCACCACATCAAAACTCCTCACATGGAACACCTGGACGGGGCGGACCATGATGGGTATGACTGGGAGAACAGCAGCCAGATCCCAGGGAAGAAAAGGAGGCTGCCTTCATAAGCCCCAAACCAGGGGTCTCCTAGCCCACATCCAGCAGTGACCGGCCCCACAACTGCTCATCTGTGTCTGCTCAAGGATTAGTAACATTCGATCAACCCCTATTGCCTCAGGTATGGATGATCTAAAATCCCAACCATCTGAAATATCACCCAGCACTCTGCTTTTGGTGAAAAAGAAAATCCTAGTGACAAAATAATGAGAAGTTAATCCTCCAAAATAAACTCTTGGTATGTCCAGGGCCAGAACCTAAAATTGGCAGCGTGCTACATGTACCCACAGGCCTCTCCTCACTCTCTCTCTAGATTTGGTGTCCAGAGCAGGGAGACATGTGGCCCAAGTGCTGAGCCAAGAAACAGGCGGCCTCCCTGCCTGGGATCCAGCCTTGTACAGAGTCAGCAGCCCTTCCTGCCCAGTGGTGAGGAGGGGTGAAATCGGGCGGAAGTGTGGCAGCTGTGAGGGGCTCAGAGACGGCCCAGGATAGCCCCTTTCTTTGGATAAGCAAAGTGAAGTTCTGAGAGTTTCTAGGGTTGGCCACAGCTTCCTAGCTTTATGTTCTGGTCTAGAAGCTGCTCTCTTACCCTGATTCCATACACCTCATTTTAGGCCACACTGCTTCTCAGGGCTGGGTTTTGTTTGCTTTTGCAGTGCCTCACACGCAGCCAGGTTTCATTCAGGCCACGAGCCTGGTTAATGTGCATAGCAAGTTGCATTTCTGCCTCATCGATCACTGGAGTCAATGGTGAATATTGAAGAATGATGGCCTTCATGGTAAGTGATAACATTATGGGATTAAAATACTTCATCACACAAAATTTACATAATAATCATTTAGATTGTCATGCAAAAAATAAAGTTATTTAGCATGTCACCACCATACTGATTTGACTTACCAATCTGGATGATTCACAAAAGGTATCTATTCGTATGGTTTTTGCTTGGTTCATGTATTCATTCAAACTTCATTGATTTTTTTTTTTTTTTTCCATGACAGGGTCTTACTCTGTCAACCAGGCTGGAGTGCAGTGGTGTGAACATGGCTCACTGCAGCCCTGACCTCTCAGGCTCAGATGATTCTCCCACCTCAGCCTCCTGAGTAGCTGGGACTACAGGTGTGCACCACCAAACCCATCTAATTTTTTGTGTGTTTTTGGTACGGAGTTCCACCATGTTGCCCATGCTGGTCTGGAATTCCTGGCCTCAAGTGATCTGCGTGCTTCGGTCTCCCAAAGTGCTGGGATTTCAGGTGTGAACCATTGTACCCGGCCTCAAACTTCATTGATTCTTACATGTGCAATGCACAGCATTAGAGGTTGTAGGGGAAAGATAACCACAATTTACTGCATACCAGCCATGTGGCCTGTCAGTTATATGTATCCTATGTTCCCCTCACAGCAGCAGCCCTGGGAAGTAGCAATGATGACTCCCATTCTAGAGAAGAGAACACTGAAGTCTACATTTTGAGTCATTTAGCCAAGGTCGCACCAGAGTCAGAATTTGACTGAGTGAACCCAAAGTACAAGCTCTCAGGGACACACCCTCCACCCTTAAAGCACTGGCTGCCTAGTGGAGGAGATAAACTACTTGAGCAAGTGAACTGGAAATCAAAATCGAGTCCAGTAAGTGCTTTAGGACAGGCACAAATAACGTTCTATGGAACCAAGAGTAAGAGAGATTCCTCTCAGGTCGGGGGGCCAGGAAAGCTTTGTGGAGACTGAGACTTTTGAGGTGGACCTTGAGGTATGGGTAGGAGTTCCTAAGATGGAGATAAAGGGGAAGGAGACTGAGAGCAGGGAGCTGAGTCTTGGGATCTGGAAAGCTTTGGGAGCTTCATGGAAGACAAAGCCATTGGTTCAGCAGGAAAAAAGCCAAAAGAAAAACTAGAGATGTTCTTAGAACTGTAATTTTTTTTTTCCCAAGTGATATTCAAATATTAAGAAGGCCAGTCTTACCCTAATGGATACATTCATTCCTGCTTTGGCAACAGAACTTCTGTAAGGGTGACTCAGACATTATGAATGAAAAAGACTTGTCTAGCAAGGGAATACAGGGCAGCTTCGATCCTGTTCCCTCTCTGCTCCCAAGCCTGCCTCCCTGGGAGGTCACTTGGGGTGTCTCTGGTCCAAGCCAACAGTCATTTTAGCAGGTGAGTCCAGCATCTCCAGAAGGGCTGGCCACATGACCCCTGGATGGACCATGCCCATCCACATCGGCAAAAATGTGTGGCTGCCTATCAACCATACAACATCCACGCAACAGACACACGCTTGCTCCATCAGCACATGTACTTCGGGAAGATCTCACTTCCAAGTTGTTCATCCATGGCCAGTAGTCCTCAAGGCTCCACTGGCAAGTACATGGCTGGGCACTGGAGATACAATATTGTCCTCTTTTCATGGAAACTATAGTCTGGCATATATTTCAGAAGCAACATGGAGGCTGGTAAAATTGGATGGATAAAGACAACACTGGGAAAGTACTGGAAGGGGATGAGAGATCACAAGTTTGATTTTGACACATTGAGTCAAGCGGCATTTGATATCCCAGGGATAAATGTCAAGTGGGCAGCTGCGGAGAACTGCAGAGGAGTGGCCGGGTCTAGAAACACACCTCTAGCCTTCAGGGAGGGAATATGGATCAGTGGTGCACCTTAGACTAGGCTACTGGTGGTGGAAATGGAGCACAGTGGACCCACTGAGGCACGTCTGGGAGAAGCATACTTTCACGAGTTGAAACTGATGCATCTGCCATCACCCCCACTGTGACTGCATCTTCTACTGGGGTTCGGGGACAATGTTTTGCACACACAGCCACCTCTCCTCTCAGGGTCAATGATGTACATGCACAGCCACATCTACTCTCAGGGACAATGGTTTGCACACATGCATCCCTGGAGAAGAGGGGGCTCCCATGAGGACAGGGTGCTTCAGGACCTCCTCCAGGCTTCCGTGGAGGTGGGGGTGCTGACACAGGGAGCGTGTCTCTCTCAGCTGGGTGGCCCCCACAGAAATGAGAGGTGGCCTCTGTATGGCTTTCTGCATTATCCTCACTTTGTGTCCACCCAGGGCCTCCAAGAAGTATCACACATAAAGACAACAATGCCCTCATCCACTGCCCTCAACTGGTTTGACTAGAACTGATGAGGGAGTGTATGACTAAGTCCCAAGCCATCTGGACACATCCAGTGACCTGACCTTTTCCAGAGACAAATCTAGCTCCTAGCTCTTGTCCACATGGGAACGGTCTGTTGGAGCAGGGAGGGGGCGGTGGTGACTCACAGGCATCACCAACATCAATGAACAAAAATCTTGGCCCCCAAGGTCACGTTCAGGGGCAGGGCCTTGTCTGGGAAGGGCTGGGTGCTGCGTTCAGGCCCCTCTCACTGACAGCGCAGCCCCCACCTCTTGGGCCTGCTCTACCTCACCTCTGACCTTTTGCTCCCCAAATGCCAAGAGCCTATGCTTGGTAAGTACAGACCCCAACCCTGTTCATACCACAGAGCTCTGCCCATACCATGCTGGCCGAGTGACCGTGGTGGTCAGATGCTTGCGCAGCCACTGGCCCCTACCATTTCAGGCCCTCCTCTGGCCTAGCCTCCCAGTTTTGGAAACACCCCTCCACCCCCACCACCCCTACACACAGTTTAAATGGGCAAGAGTCGTTAGTGTGCAGAGGCAGAACTTCATTCATCTTTGGGACACAAAGACCTCCAGACGCCCTGGGTCAAGGCGTACCTGGGGCCAAAGGCAGAGCTGACTGGACACGGACACAGTAATTTCTGGATCACGTGATCACTCTGCTGGTGTTCATTCAACTCACCCATACGCTCATTCACACTAAAATACAAGCAGAGAACTATATTCTTTCTTTGAGTTTCCTGGATTGAAACTCTGATGGAATGGTCACGACTCAAGACAAATCAATATCATAATTCTGCAAGTATAATTGGCTAACCTTTCTGGAAAGGTTTGCATGCCTGGAAGGAATTTAGGTCAGGTCCAGCGCGGTCTCCATCCGGCTTGGCTCTGCCTCCCCATCCTGTGGGTTGCCTGGCCTTCCCCAGATGGTCCCGAGAGCGCTCAGAATTGGCACCGCGCTGGCCTCTGTGCCCAAGAGCCCTGGGAGGTCATCGACCCTGCAAATCGCGGCAGTCCGGCCTGGACCACCTGCCAGGGTCTCCCCGCCGCATCTCCGACCCCGCGCGGCTGCTGCATTCCGCTTGCCCGCCTCCCTGGGAAGGCGCGGGCGCCTGGCTGTGGGGCAGCATCTTGGCAGCGCGCCGGCCCCTCCCGGAGTTGGCACAACTCGAGCCACTTTCTTCAAAGGCGCCAGCCTACAGCCTCGGTGCGCGCAGCCCCCCACGCGAGGCCTGCACCCCCTCTCGGTGTCGCCCGCTTTCACGTACGCCGCCCTGCAGCCGGCCCCCGCGCACTGTCGCCACCCGCAGACACGCGCGCCCTCCTCCTGTTTACCGAGAGGGAGCGTGAGCACTGCCACTGTGGTCGCCAAGTTGGGCTGGGGACTCCGGGTGAGGGTACGCGCCGCGGGCCAGGGTCGGGCGTCATGCGGTCCCCAGCCGCTGGTACTGGGCGCGCCGCGGGGGCGGCGGGGACAGGGTCGGGACTCTGAGCCTCCGAGAGGCCCCTCCCTCCCGCGGCGGCGGCCGAGGCAGCGTCCCCGGCCTGCTCGGGCCGCCCGGGGCGCACGGTCCCCCACAGGAGCGCAGTGTCCCCGCCCGCACGCGCGCGCTCACCTCGGGGGGGCCGGTCCGGTCGCGCAGGTCTCGCTGCCGCGGCGGCTCTGCATCTCCCGGGCGCCCGCCCGCCGCCCTCCGGGGCGCCCGGCTGTGCCTGCCGGGCGCGAAGAAGGGTCGCGGGGACGCGCAGAGGCCGTGGGTTCCTGAAGCCGCTCGCGCCGGCTCCTGCCGCCCGCCGTCCGCAGCGGAGCAGGAAATTTGTTCGGCCGGCCGGGTCCCGCCGCCGCCTCGGCTCCAGCTCCGGCTGCGGCTCCGCGGCGGGGGCGGGGGCCCGGGCGCTGAGAGGAGCGGGGGCGACGCCTGGTGCCCGGCGCGGGGAGCGCATCCAGGGCGCCCGCCCCACCTGCGCGGCGGGTATGGCCCTGAGGCCCTGCCCTGAGAGCACCTAGGCACTGTGGGTGTCCGTTTACCCAAGGCCGGTGCCCCTTCCGGGGAGGCCTGGCCCAGCCCCTCCGCCGGGACCCAGGTGCGTAGAGGGTCAAGTTATGGCAGGCACTCACACCTGGAGGAGAGCAAAGGCAAGGCCCTGCCTCTCCCTGCCCTATCCCTGTGCACCAGGAAGTGGCCTGGCTGGGGACTCGCCCTGGTCTTGCAGCAGGTATGGGACTCGCAGGGCACCCCGTGCGCTTCTGGTGCGAGGAAGCTGGGAGAGCTGGGAGGTCGCTGGGCCTGGTGGCCTCCTCAGGAAAGAGGTGGGGATAAGGCGCCTGTTTGGGGGATGTTGAAGAGGACTCGCTTGTCCTTAAGGCAGCATCTGTCAAAGTTAAAAACGCACGAAGAGAAAGAGGAGCGCCCGAGTCAGGCACTGGGCCTGCTGTCTAGCCGACTTCTTCCAGGGGATTTCACTCAGGCTATTTAGGGAGGTTTCAGAGAAAAGGCAGTTCCCTGGGAGGAGCAGAAAGGACATTGGTGGCATCTTGGTTCTGAACCTTTGTGTCGTGCCCTCTGGGTGGGGCCACGGCCCAACCCTCATGAGGGAAGCTGCATTCTGTGGTAGGGGCCCAGCTCATTAGGCTAATGAATGAATGAATGGGGAGAAAGTGGCACTTAGGGTGTGTTACCCCACGTTGCACCGTTTGCTAGCCGACGACTCTTAGCATACTTGAAGTCTGTTTAGACAGAGCTACAGACCCCAAAGGTTGCAGAGCAATGGGCACCTCCTGGCAGAGGCCACCAGCAGGTGACTTGCCCAGAGTGGGACTTCCCCTCCACAGGGCCCAGAGAGCTGCGAAACCGGTGGAGAACTTGAGCTCCACCTTCCTGCCCTGCCCTGCCCATTTCTGTCCCTGGGGGCCTTTTCTAGCCCCAAACCTTTAAACACCATCCGCATGGGAACTCTCTAAACAGCATCGCTCTGGGGCCCTCTCCTGCAAGCTCAGCTCCTCCTGGCTGTCTCCTGCTGTCTCAGACCTGCCTCTTGCTCTTACTTGGTTTCTCTGCAGTCGTCCCTATCCCTGCCTCCATGTCCCACCTCCAGTCCACCTCCCAGAGGGCCCAAGTCCGCTTCCCACCGGCTTCTCCATGCATCTCGCCCTTCCCTCCTGTGACTGCCTGTACCCCTCCAAAGCCTGCAGTGGCTCCCCAGCTTCCCACCCACTCTCCCAGATGATCCATTCTTCACACTTGGTCCTGGGCACCTCACAAAGTGGAAACCAGGTCCTGCTAGCCCCCTGCTTAAAAGCCTCCATGAAGAATAAAATCCAAACTCCCACGAGGCCCTGCCTGACTTTCCTGGCTGCCCTGAGCCTCTCACCCCTGCCCGCTGGGCTCCAACCACGGCTCCTTTCTCTCAGTACCAGAGCCAAGCTCCTTCCTGCCTGGGGCTTCTCCAACCAATGCACTTGGTTCCTTCTTACTGGTGGCTTCTGGAAGATCACCCTGCACCCATCCCTTCTGCCACTCTCTTCCACAGCCCCCATCACAGTTTGGAATTACTTGTGGCTTTATTTGCTCCTTTGGTGTCTGTCATGCCCTCTTTCCCTACCCCCAGGGCTGTAAACTCCAGCAGCCTAGGCTCTGCTGATCTCCATGGCTCCTCAGACTCAAGCTCCTAAAGCAACCTCAGTAGCCATGAGGTGCTCACTGAAGGTGTCTGGGCTGTTAGAGCAAGGGAGGATGGGCCCCAGTTAGCAGCAGCAGACAGCCTGGTCACTTCAGAGCCCAGCAGGGTGGGCGGCTCCCTCCTGAGTGCATCTCCAAGGAACAGCCCAGGTTGAGGTGGGGCCAGGTAGCCCATGACGTCACCAGGCTTTGGCTTTTTCTGCTGTTGTGGTCTGCAGAGCCAGGCTTATGTACATGAAGGCCATAATTACAAAGCTCTGCTAAGCACAGTTTTGCTTGTTAACGCTGCAGGGCTGAGGAGGCAGAGACTGTGAGCTAAGAAGATAGAAACAAGTTGCCTTTGTCAGACATCTGCTATTGGAAAGTGAACAGCCTTGGTAACATGATGGGGAGGCAGATGGCTCTTCTTTCCTCATAATATCTTCTCTGCTGGACCCCAAAAATTCTCAGCTCTTTCTAAAGTCTACAGGCATTCATCATTGTCACACAGAAGCATGTTTTCAGAGGTGTTTGTGCCAGGGCCCTGTTGATTACCACAGGGAAGCCCTTCATCCTTCTTCACCATCTTCATTTTGCCTCTCATAGGCTCAAGGTCCCTGTTGACATCAGAGTCAATTCCCCTATCCTCCTCCCAGGCTTTGAGGAGCTCACCCGCCTCTTGCCCTCCTGAACACCTCACCACCCTCATCTTTTAGAGCCCTTCTTGAGTCCACAGAGTCCTCTTAGCTCCCTGGCACACTGGCTGTCTGATCCTGTCTCAGGCCAGTCAGCGGCTGGCCATCTGCCTGCTCTCCCCAGGCCTCCCCTACACCCAACCATTTAGCTCCTTTCCTCTAAAACACAGCTTGAGGCAGTGCTCCTGCAATTATTGATATTAACTGCAATTACTTGTCTTGTCTTCTGTTTTACTTGAGGACTGGGCCTTTGGGTTTCTCTGCAGAAAATCAGATACTGCCCATCACGCTTAGAGGGCCCAATAGATGTCAATTAAAATTAAAATGCTGAGGCCAGGAATACTGTCTAGGAGGATAAGCAAAAAAAAAAAAAAAAAAAAAAAAAAAGGCAAATCAATGTGTGGAAAGCACATAAGAAGTTGCTTTTAAACATCATACAGAAACATTCTCATAAAGTTATTCAGCCTTAGGAGGAAAAAAAGCAGGGTTTTTTTGTTTTTTTGTTTTTTGTTTTTTTTGAGATGGAGTCTTGTTCTGTCGCCCAGGCTGGAGTGCAGTGGCGGGATCTTGGCTCACTGCAAGCTCCGCCTCCCAGGTTTACACCATTCTCCTGCCTCAGCCTTCCGAGTAGCTGGGACTTCAGGCACCTGCCACCACGCCTGGCTAGTGTTTTTGATTTTTTTTTTTAGTAGAGACGGGGTTTCACCGTGTTAGCCAGGATGGTCTCAATCTCCTGACCTCGTGATCCGCCCGTCTCGGCCTCCCAAAGTGCTGGGATTACAGGCTTGAGCCACCGTGCCCGGCCAAAAAAAAAGCAGTTCTTGATCATTGATTGGCTGTGGGGCAGGGCAAGGAAGGGAAAACGGAGTGCTGTGGCTTGGCGGCATCCCCACCCAAGTCTCATCTTGAATTGTAGTTCCCGTAGTCCTCATGTGTTGTGGGAGGGATCCTATGGGAGGCAATTGAATCATGGGGGTGGGTTTTCCCCATACTGTTCTCATGATAGTGAATAAATCTCACGAGATCTGATGGTTTTATAAAGGGCAGTTCCCTTTATAAAGGGAACATGCTCTCTTGCCTGCCGCCATGTAAGATGTGCCTTTGCTCCTCCTTTGTCTTCTGTGGTGATTGTGAGGCCTTCCCAGCCATATGGAATTGTGAGTCCATTAAACCTCTTTCCTTTGTAAATTACCCAGTCTCACGTATGTCTGAACAGACTAATACACTGAGACAACACCAGAGTCCTTCAATGATTTTGTTCAGGACCTGTCCCCACCAAGAGGTAACTTTTAGTAACCACAGTCAGGATGGTTATTCTGATCTCTAGGATGTACCAGATTGAATAATGAATAGGTTCAGAACTATCTATTTTTACATTACCCAACTATTCTTCCCTCTCCTCCTCTTTTTCCAAGTTATGCCCAAGTGTTAACAATTACTGAAATCAAGAAGACAGGTCTTTTTGCTGGAAGATTCCTCTACTCACCCAGAAAAAACCAATAATTAGGCCCTCCCCCAGATCCTTACCACATTTGAACTCTTTTATTTTTCTTGAATTGCTTTTCACTGATGAATAGTACACATGTATTGTACAGATCTTAAGGGATATGCCAATGAGTAAAGACAAGTGTATAAACTAGTGAAATGCATACTCCTCTCAAGACAGTAAACATTTCCATCAATCTAGAAAGTTCTTTGATGTTTCTTCCCCCGATAGAATCTCCCGACTCTTGCCAAAGATGGCCATTATTCTGAAATCTATCACTGCAGGTAGTATTACCTACTCTGTATCTTCATATAAATGGAATCATGTAGTATGTTATTTCTAATTTCTTTTAGGCAGCAAACTCTTTCTGAGATTTATCCTTTATTGCTTATTATCAGTAGTTTTGGTGGTGTACCCTTTTCCTCTAGTTGATTTTAAAATCTTCTCCTTATCACTGTTTTCAAGAAATTTGATAAAAATGTGTCTCAGTGTTGTTTTATTTTATTTTATGTATTTATTCATTGAGATGGGGTCTTTTACTGTCACCCGGGCTAGAGTGCAGTGGTGTGATCATAGGTCACTGCAATCTTGAACTCCTGGGCTCAAGAAGTCCTCCTGCCTCAGCCTCTTGAGTAGCTGGGACTACAGGCATGCACCACCATGACCGGCGCCTTCCATGGCCTGCTTCAGATGATCTCATAATGCATTGAATACACTCGTGTTCCTCACTCAAAAATCACAGGACTCTCAGAAATATCTATACTTTGGCAAAAGGATATTTTTCCTCTAACTTGAGAAATGATAAGACTTATGACATAAATTCTTTATTTCTCACAGTGAAGTTCATAATCCACAGAACATTATCACTGGTAGGATGATGTATTATTCACCTAGTTTCCACCTGGTATATAATCTCAGTTTGCTCTTGCAATTGAGGAAAAAGTTGGTAATGAGACATAATACAGCACTAAGGAAAGCTCTCCTAAGAATGAGATACAGATATTTATTTCTTAGCAGTTACTAAGCACA